TGGTCTCTCATCGTCGCACAGGTCGGTGATTCCATGAGGACGTCAAGACAGATCCGGCGGTGCCTGTAAATATCCGTACCTGCTTCTGAATGCTAAGTTTTCAGCAGTTGATAGGGCGGTCGAGTGCTGCTATTATCCATGTCCAACCAATGAGCCACGTGCTCTTCGAAGCAGGACCCAAGCTTGCTACTTACAGGAACACACACCGAGAAGTGGGGCGAGCGTCTCGTCCTCGTTTCGGCACTCCAGTCCATGTCGTACATAAACAAGACTGCTTGGACCTTTTCTTTAATTATCACAAACATTTTTTTGGTCAAGTGAAGTCATTCGCCAATCGCTCGCACCAGGATTACCGATTGAGCGTCATCTCGTACCCTCTACTTGACAGCACTCCTCCTCCTCCTCCGCCAACGGGGACACAACACTCGCTACCACAGCCGTCAACAATAAAACCTCGCCGATATCGAGCGATTCCGACATGTCTTCCCAACCTCTCCTTCAGACCACTCCCGGTAGGTCCGCCCCGAAAATCCATCGAATCTTGCAATTGAAATTTGGTAATCTTGCCCTGTCTAACATGTCTCCCAGGTAAGCGCATCGCTTTGCCAACCCGCGTCGAACCCAAGGTCTTCTTTGCGAACGAACGAACTTTCCTGTCATGGCTCAACTTCACCGTCATCCTCGGCGCCCTCGCCATCGGCATGCTGAACTTCGGTGATAGAGTCGCCTTCATCTCTGCATTCCTCTTCACTGGTGTCGCTATGTTGACCATGATATATGCATTGGTGACGTACCATTGGCGAGCCAAGTCTATAAGGATGAAGGGTCAGGCCGGCTTTGACGACCGTTTTGGTCCCACCGTCCTGGCCATTATTCTTCTACTGGCCGTCATTGTCAACTTTGTCCTCCGAATCACCGACAAGTCCAAGAACAATGGCAACTAGAGACTCACTGGACATGACCACAGCGATTGTAGTCACGCAGCGGCATCCAAGGGCCGCTTATATGGGAAGAGGCGGGAATGGCTCAGCGGGGAATGGAATCTCAGGATGTATTGGGCCATTGGCGTTGGAGCCGGGACATCGCAGATTTTCTTTACACAGTATTATTGCACGATTGTAGTGGCACAAAAAGCAGAATGTTCTATTTACATGCGCTGGGTATCTTGTGATTTGCTAAACGACTTACTCAACAATGAGCCATCTCTGGAATCGCTCAGTCAAGTATGTTAGAGAAATTAAGGAAGACAACACGCCTGAGCAAAATTGTCAGGATTGTATCAAGCCTGCTTGGCTGTACCAGACTGGACCGTAACACCCTTCTTTATTTTCAGTTCCTGTATGGGCATAGTCGAAATGAAAACCCTCATTGATTTCACAGATCGTGGCGAGGGTTGAGGTAGCACTGCGTCTTCAAAACGGCTGTGCATAACCTCGAAATCGTCGTTGTCGGAATCATTGTCTTCTTGAATGTTCTTTTCGAGAATTGTCTCTTCAATAACATCGTTGCTTTTAGACCTTTCTGGCTGGTCAAATAGCTGGTTGTATTGATAATATGCTTTCCCTTCCTCACTGACAATCCGCTTGCATGTTTCCACCACTGTGATAAGCTTGCAAACATCAGCGGTTCGCGCATACAGCAGTGCTACTCGAGGTCGTTCGCCTTGAGTCATTATGTGATCTGTGACCTGCATGATGCGCTTCTTGATTTTCGTTGATGAGATAACTGAAGCAGGTAGGATGTCATATTTGGAGTTGAGCTCAGCGATGATGGTTTCGTGGGGAGCTAGCAGAGCTGGTGTTGGAGTCTTAGGATCGTTGTTTCGAGGTCGCTTCGTCAAATGTGCGTCTTTGGAGGCATTCGTATCTGGCTTCCTTTTGCCAGAGGCATGTTTGGATGTTGCAGTGGGCATCTTTGTGAATGATGATGTGAAGAGAACGTGATGTCTCTACGGAGTAGCGGATAAAACAATTGCGGACCAGGATTTGAGGTTTGCGGGGCGGGCACATGCAAGTCTGTACTTTTGGAGTACAGTGATATTATTCATTGGATCAAACGCTTGGCACTTTATAACTTGCTTAACACATAATAATTTCCATGAACCTCTCGTTGAACGTTTTGCCAGACTGCAATACCCAAGATACCTAGGTAGGCAGTCTAATTGAGCACCTTCAGAGGGTTCCATTCATAGGTAAGGCATCATGAGATTCCCTTTTTTCTTTCTTCTTTTCCTTTACAAGGTGATTTCCCGAACTGTCCAAAACCTTAAAAAGCACGTGGCTGTATGTTGAGAGACAGCTGACTAAGGCTACCTAGGTATCAATTGTGAAGCGGAACATGGTGAAAAGTGGCTAGCGAGGCTTGCGCCACAACTCCAAAGTTGCGTTGAGATCTTGAATGCATAAGCACAGCTCGCTCGGCTTATCTAAGTCTAACTCTTAGGCGCCTCAGGCGACATACTGTCAATATTACTGTATATCTTTCACAAAGCTATTCATCTCAGATTTCCTCCATCACCTTGTAACAGAAATGAGCAGATGAATGAGCACTTTACGGCAGCACTCCCTTCTGAAGATGTCATGGATGACGATTTAGACCGGAGTCGCTAGTGGGGCTGAGGGTACGGAGTAGCTCCCCAGGAACTCGAGAGAATCACCTCATTGCGCTTCAAAATATCCCATCACCTAGCTTTCAATCTGCAGCCTCTGCATGGCACAGACGAAGTTCTCATACAGTGCTCGCCGGACGATAGTAACTGGATACAGGGATTGCATTGTTGTTGATGCTCTCAACTGAAGATATCAAGGAGCTTGCACCAGATTGGCACACAATGACCAACTAGAGTGAGGCTTCTAAGAAAAAGACACTCATCCATGTTCATAAGGTACAGACACAGCACACTAGCACAGTCTAAACAATTGCAGCTTGGCTTCCAAGCCAAGTGGAATATAAGCGAGCTGGTTGGAAGTGGCTGCAGCAACTTACAGAAAGATAGCCCCACAACCTACACACCATCCTGCTCCGTTCTAACCAAATGTGTCTCATTGATGGTTGCATTGTCAGACGTCCAAGACTCGTCCCGAAGTCAAGTGTAGGACTGATTGCCCAGATGCAAAACCAGTAGCATGTGATGGGAATACGAGACGGGTGATACAGACAAGCGAAGAAGGACTCCAAGGCCCCAAGAGAACTAATGAGCAAGACAGTCCTGTCAAATCTGATCAAGAGAGGTACCAAGTAGCTGGGTGCCTAGTAGTGTAGCTGCCATGGAAGCGCGAGATAAGATGGATTTGGGTTTGGAACATGCTTTACCATCGCACTTCGAGTTACTAGGGTTGCAGCCAAATCCTCTGATTAGAAGTATCTACAGTGGGGTTTTGTACCTGAAAAGGTGTCGTAAAGGACATTCTTAGGCAGCGCCAGGCTGTTCCGGGCTGTTTGTCGTTACTACTTGAGGAGCGCATACTGGTAGTATTTGAAACTACGTTGAAGCAGTGTCTCTACATATGCAGCAGTCTGCACTAGCTCGGACTAGGCTATCGACTGGATCTGACGGATCTCTTCCTGTCCAGTCCTGAGTTAATTGGGCACTCGTTTGTTATCACTGCTAACAAGCCGGGAAGTGACCGGGGTTATAGCAGGAGACAAACGGCGAAACTCATCTAAAGCAACAAACAACTGACTTGACTACCAAAAAAAACCATATATTTTGATTGCTTTATGATAGCCTATCTGCCAGTCTTGGTAGGGATCCTAAGGCAGGTATGTATGTACTGATAAGTCAGAGTTCAAGATTCGATGTTTCTAATATGTAGGTAGTTAATGCTGACAGGGTCCCAGCTTGCGTCGGATCTATTAGTAGATGGTGGTTCTGAGTTTCTGGGCGTCGTCGTACCGCAATCATAATCCCCTGGCTCCTTCCATGCTTGGCTGGCTGATGGTCCACTCCCCAAAGAGACAGAGAACCCCAATTTCGCCCCTGGGTACCCACCAACAGCCTGCCAACACTTGACTCCCTTGACTCCTAGGCTTGTTTTAGCCTGCTCGACGGCTTCGCCTCAGGTCTGCTTTGTGTGGGCACTCAATCGGCCGTTCAATCAAATCAAGTCTCTGGCCGATCGCTCATTCAATCAGGGAGGAAACCCAGTACACAAGCAGCACCAAAACAAGAGACCGAGACCCAAGCGTCACTCTCGGGTACTGACTGATGACTGTGAAGGACTGAACTCTGAGGTTGAGGTGCTCCCATCACGCACGCTGCAGTGACTGCACCACCCACTTTCTCCTTCTTCCAGTTTGACTTTATCCCCATTTCCCTCGAGTCGTGTCAGACTCCCGCAACAGAAAGCTTCAATTCCACTTGCACCTACACTTACTTTGTACTTCTGTACTTTCACTTCCCCCCTCGACGCACCTTCCCTCCCATGTGTTATCGATTTTCCTCTTCGCACCTTCATTTGCGCTTGCACCCTCGTTTTCCCACCTTTCTCTTTGCTGCTGCTGCTTCACTACCACAACCTACCTAATCTTCCCTCTTACACGCTCTCCCGTCTCGTCTCGTCTCCCTCCCTCTTCATTCACAACACACTCTCCCTCTCAAAGAAAACACTTCTTTGTTTGCTGTCTCTCAGAGGCCACAGAGTCGAGGCTTTCGCTAGCGCTCGATCACTTCTTTCTTCCCTCTCTTCCGGCACATTGTCACTCTTGAGTACTTGTCGTTACTGTCGCTGGTTGACCCAAACTCCTCTTTGGTTCTGGCCTGTTCTGAGGGCCACATCATCAAACCCCTTTGCGCCCGACTCCGATTGTCCGATCCGCAAGCCTACTTTCCAATTACGTCAGCCTCACCTGCGCCACATATTTGGCACCCATTCCCATAATTTTCACCCGCCTTCAAATCCACACACTGCTGCTGCCTATCTCATTGATACAAAAGCTCACTACGGCCCTTCCGTCGTGACTTTTTGGTCTTCTCCTTGACTCCTTGTCGAGGTATCCTCATGTTTCGATTCTGGACATCTGAATCACGGGGAAGCGACAAGACGCTGCCGGCAACACCACCCATCGCAGACCTACTGAAGCCATTTCAGTCACCTCTGTTACCAAAAACGGAGATATCAGCGTTGCCCGAGGTGCAGCCTCCCAAACGGAGACGGCCAAGCGTATATGTCGCTGATGAAACGTCCGATATGAACGTGCCTATAAAGCGCGCCAAGATAGACCTAGATGTAATAGGCCACAGTTTCTCAGCATCCGACCCAAACCCACAAGAAAGTCCTACGGCCTCTAGTTTGGACGATGCCAGGGATGAGATTCGCCACCAGTTTGGTCTTGAAATTTTGCTAAAGCATGATGAACTTCGGCTCATTAACCAGGAACTCGCGAAATGCCAGGTTGCTTTGGAGCAGCTCAGACGTTGCCATCTCATCCCATACCCCGTGAATTGCCCAACTCCTGAACAGATGCTGAATGTCAGTGCCGGAAAGGGACCTGCTATTCAGAAACGTTCGGGGGAAGCTGTGCCAAGGTGGGCACCCCCATTTGGTGTCGTTGATGGTCCATATGCCAGACACTATGCCAAGTGGCTTATTCCTGATCCTTCATTTGATGGCATACAGCCCGAGTGGCATTTTACTCCAGAAGCCTCACGCGCGAGAGCTTCGTTTGCTGAAGGGCGAACGACAAGAAATAGCTTCACCGAATCTGGAACTTCGCTCAAGGCCCGTTCAGGTCGTGGAGCTGGGAGCCAGAAGTTACAGTCTTTGTCAAGTGGCTATCCTCAACCAAAAGACAAGGCTGGCCCATGTATCTTGAAGCGCGCCGATGGGAAGACGGTAAAGTTGGTGTGTCTTGATTGCAACCGGGAGAACTTTTCAAGTACTCAGGGATTTATCAACCACTGCCGCATTGCTCACAAGAGGGACTTCAAGAGCCACGAGGAAGCAGCCGTACAGAGCGGTCATCCAATCGAAGTAACCGAAGGGGGGGCTGTTGGAGAGGAAAAGGGGCCTGCACCGACCGTCCCAACTCTGGCTTCCACTTCTGTGCATCCTTTTGCCCAACCAGGTATGACGGAACAGCAGGCATACATTGCTCTAAGATCAAGAATTGCCGATTCGCTTAGGCTTTATCACCAAGGCAAGCTGCCTGGCGTCACTCGTATCCCTTCGCTTCGTGGCAAACCCCGTGGTCGTGAAGTGAAAATGACTGGCTCTGTCGCAGGAGCTTCGGATGTGCCCTTTCTCTCACATCTCCTGCAAAGTCGGAAGTTCGACGGCAACCTGCGTGAACTGGTTGCAGATGCAAAGACAAAGATCGCACTGGACGATATGACCTCCGGTGAGGAATCGGAGCCTGCTGAGACATCACTTGACGAAATAGAACCTGGAGATCCGTCTGCTGTGCGGAAACCAGTCGTTATGCGCGTGCCCGCAAAGGCTACTCATTCTCCAACTGTCATGGCCGCATCGGTCCATTCAGCCAGTAGCAAAGGCCGTGCTCCCCCAATCGCTTTCAAGACGTCTGCAAACTGCGGATCGCGTAATGCGAATCCTGTGCTTTCAGACGAAGATTTGGACATGGAAGATGTTGACATGAGCCCCAATACCATGATCAGCAACAACGCCCCTTCTCTTGTTAGTGATGATGGAGAGTACGATGATACGGATGATGGCTCCTCTGTTTCCGGCACAAGTGATCATCTTGAAACCGAGTCAGTGTCGGATGTAGAAGAGATCACGTTGGATGACGACCAGGATTCGCGCTCACTGCGTCAGGGATCCAGCGGCGCATCAGGCGCCGTAAGGCTTCGTAAGGACGACCCCAAGCATGTTACTCTGATGACGCCAGTCAAGAGTAATGCCAGGGAACGAAGGTCGCGTAAACTCTGAACCATTGAAACATAGCATCTACACGTTGTGTACCGATCTTCCCATTCATCATTGCCAACGCCGTACAGTCACAAACCATTGGATTCGCCTTTCTTCTTGAACCACCGATTTTCAACCATATATTTTTTTAGTCATCTTATGAACAACCACTGGGAACAGGTCACGATTGAGAAACGACAACTGCTTGGTTTCAGCCTGTCACAAACGAAAATTGAGGCTATTGGGGGCGCTTTGTGGAATTACAGTAGGGGAAACATGCGATCTTGTTTGAATTAGAGAATTACGTATATTCACTGAGGCGCTACGGAACGGGACTTCTTATTGGAATGCAGTTTGGTTGTTGCACCTCTGTTTTGTTTTCGTTGTTAGTATGTTGAGCGAATATCCCTAGACAAGAAGGGACATGTACGATCCGAATAGCTATATCAAGATTTCAGTTCCAAGCAGTTTCACCGTTTGTAACATGGTTTATCATGGGAACAAGCTGACAGTGTGAATGCACGATGCATAAGGCCCAAAGCGTAGCAATTCTTCCCCACGACTACGAAGACTCACAAATTGACCCGGTCGTTCGGCCAAGAAACGGTCATCTCTACGGAGTACCCCTGACTACTATCTTTCTTACACAAGGTATGGGCATGCTGAGGATATCCCTGCGAATGCTCGATGGCGACCAATCGGATTAAGCAACGAATGTTTGTCTCTAATTAAGGTTAGAGGCAAAGCGTAATAGTAGTGCAGATCTTGGAATTACAGTATTGTCAGCAAAACACATCGAGTATTCGTACTGAAATTCAGATCATCAACCGGCTAAGATGATATACCTAGCGGAGTATATATTAATGAATTAGATGATTACTTAGATAGATCATTGATGGCACGCTTTTCGGCCGTAAGCTCAGACCAAATCAAACTCCTCCATCTTACTCATAAACCATGTCCAACATGCAATTACAGAATAGCGGCGACTACACCGGCGACGGCAAGAAGAACACCAGCAGTGTTGCGTGCCTTGTCGGCAGCATTGTTGGTGTTCTCGGCGCTGGCGGCAGACTCAGTAGCAGAGCTGGTCGCATCAGGGGCATCGGAACCAGTGGCGGTAGCATCTGATGCATCAGCTGTCGCTGTGGAAGAGCTGGTCTTGGTGGCCTTGGTCGCAGTGCCATAGAGAGAGGCCTGCTGGCAGTTGACCTGAACCTGGCTCTGGGCGGAGCTGGCGCGAGAGTCGTCTGGGCAGTTGTTGAAGCAGCTGGAAGTATATGTTAGACGACAAGTTCAGCTCAAAATGTACAGGCATGCTCCACTTACGTAGCAACAGCCTCATATGCAGCACAGAGACAGTCCCAATCGTTGGCCTTGCAGTCCTCGACCTTTGCGTTCTCGGTCTCGAGACATCTCTTGACGATGTACTCAGCCTCACACTCGCTAGAGGCAGAGGGAGCAGCGCCAGAATCCGTAGAGGACTGGGCGGAAGCCGCAGCAGCGAAGAGAGCGAGGGACCAGAGGAACTTCATGACGGTAATTACGTGAGGTCGACGTTTGAAGATGGAGTAGGAAGAACTGGAGAATGCAGAGGAGGTTAAGGAGAAAAGACGGGCCCTGGCACAGGGAGATCAAGAGCAGATATATAAACTGAGGAGACCAAGGCGTTTTTAATCACACAGGCGAGTACGGGGGATATTAGCAACAAGGTCATGTTTAGCATCGTGCTGTATGGGCATGGGCATGGGTAAGGATGCTCTGCCGTCCCACCCCCAGGCGAGACCAATGCGCGACTCCGTACATGGCATGGGTTATCGTAGATGACAGGGGCTGCTCGGGTTTTGCTCAAGAATTTGGGTTGGAGATAGAGTGTTAGAGTGTTGAGGGGGATGGATAAATGGCTGATTACATGTTGCCGTTTGGTGTGTTGTATTATTAGTGGCTTGAGCTTGGACAAAGTTCTGTTTCTACCTTAGTACTCCGTACCAAGGTTAGGTACCTTATTTATCTGTTGTTACCTCATACCGAGCTCATTTCACCGACATATTCCAACCGATGCTCAGTCACACCTGATGAATGTCTTCGAAGTCGTGGCGGTCAACTGTATTCACACGATTCAGTACAGATCCATTGATTTCTACGATTTTGGCAGGGTTGCTGACCAGCGTTGGCTGGGAGTAACGACAGTCAGAGTGGGGATTCAAACATACATGTACTGTACAAGGACATACTGTAGGTAATTGTGGTCACCGTCGAAAAATGTTACCCTTGTGCCTGTCTACGCCTGTGTCGTTCGGTCTGTTTTCCTCCAACGGGAGACTTTGAAGCTGCTGTTATCCTAGCTTTTGCTCTGGGAGATGTCCCTGCATGGAGATGGGGAGATGACTAGCGTGCTTTCAGGGGGCAGGGAGGCTGAACCAGTGCGATGTTGTGCGGCGTTATGCTGTGTTATGCAGTTCATGAGTGGGTGGAATCGATGGATTAGTTAGCTATTTTTGTCTGCACAACTGCAACATCGTATGTCCTCCTCGTGGTGTGAGTTTGGTTGCCCAGTCAGACATAACGGTGTGTATCTTGACGCGCCATAAACAGCCTTTGTGGACTTATTACAGCTCAGGCTCCTTGAGTGTTAAGTAGGAGGGCTATTTGTTTGGCATAGAGTGGTACTCAATCGAGCAATGCAGACTAGAAGTCAGTGGTGATAACAGACGCGGCCTTCGATGACAGGCGTCGTGCATATGGATGCCTCACTCGCCTCGTATTGCTTTAGTACAACCTGCACAAGTATCATATTGGGGATAAAATGGGGGCCCAGAACATACCACCCATATTACTACTCCATACAAGTAAGAACGTGATGGATCACACAAGAATAAACATAAAGCAGCCAGCATCGTATCCAAATAAAGTACATGCTCTTTCTGGCTCGAACACGGGGGTAATGTACCTAAGCCTTGAGCTTCCATGTTATAGGTAGCTTGCCCTTGTGACACCATCTGACGTCCGGGCCATTGGGTATTGCTACAAAGTCAAGTCATTTGAATAGACATGATATTGATACTTGATGCCTAGAGGTTTGGAGCAGAGGAGAGGCCGCTTCTGTTGCCATGGCTCCATTTGTGTAGCTTCTCATTATTGCCTAGAGTAGGCAGACGTTAAGCAGCTCGATAAATATTCACATTTTGGTTCATTGTATGTCATGAAGGAGGTTTATTGGGAATTCCAAACTAGTGACATGGAGGTGCATGGCAATGAAAGGAATTGCCTGCTTGAGTAGTGGTCATACGTCTAGATGTAATATTCATAAGTTTGATGTCACAATAATAAGACCGATTTTTCGAGTACCTAAGGTAATCTATTCACTACTGCGGAGTACCTAGTTACTGAGTAGACCATTCACAGTCTGAACACCTAGGTAAGGCGCCCCACACTAGCTTGTTGACGTATGTAGAAGTACCCCTCCAAACAAGAAACGTTTCCCCCATGTTCACAGCAACTTCGCATCTGAAACTGACGGCATTTTGACTTTCAAGGCTTTATACGGGTGCATCTTCTCATCTGTCTTTCATCCCTGTTCTCTCTATCTTCTAGAGGCACAATTATACCTCATAACCGCCGCTGCCTCCCTCATGGCTTCTCCATCCATCACTCTCGACCGCATCCTGGCGGCAGTCCCAGTTACAAACCGTGGTCAGCCAACTCAGATCTCGGCCGACTCCAAGGGTCAACGGATAGCTTATCCTGTATGATCTTCCCTCTGCCAGAAGACTACATTCTGTAGATGATGTCTCTGACCCATGTAGTGCGGAAAATCCATATTTGTTCGCTCCATCGACAACCCTTCAGACGCAAAGGAATACACCGGCCACACCGCCCCTACAACCGTCGCTCGATTTGCTCCTAATGGCTTCAAGGTCGCCAGTGGTGACTCAAGCGGAATGCTAAAGGTGTGGGAACCCGAGTCTATCGAGAGTACCAGGGGCGAGTACGGAATCATCTCTGGTCGTCTGAACGATATTGCCTGGGACGGCGAGTCGCAACGCGTTATTGCTGTTGGCGATGGTCGCGAGCAATTCGGTCGCTGCATTACAGCCGATAGCGGTAACTCAGTTGGTGAGATCATCGGTCATTCCAAGTCCGTTAATGCCGTCGCAATGAAACCTCAACGCCCATTCCGTGCGGCTACGGTTGGCGACGATGGCAACATGGTCTTCTATCATGGAGCCCCATACAAGTTCAACAACAAGAGCGCTCAACATACCGGTTTTGTTCTGGGCGCTGCCTATTCCCCTGACGGAAGCTCTTTGGTTACGGTTGGTGCCGACAAGAGGATACAGCTCTACGATGGGAAGACGGGTGAGCCCACCAGAGAGATTGGGCAGGGTGAGCACTCGGGAAGTATCTTTGCCGTATCGTGGTCGCCAGATGGCAAGAAGTTCGTCACCGCTAGTGCTGATCAAACTGTAAAGCTTTGGGATGTCGATGCAGGCAGCGTCATCCAAACCTGGAAGTTTGGAGAGGATGTTAGCGTGGGTGACCAGCAAGTTGGTATTGTTTTTGTTCCTGGCCGTAGCGACGGCCTCATTATTAGTCTCAGCCTTGCAGGCAACCTCGCGTACTTGACCGAGGGCAAGCCGGAACCTGTCCGCCTTGTATATGGTCACGGAAAGAGCATAACCGCTTTGTCGACTGGATCTGACGGCAAGGGTGCTGACCTCTGGTCTGGCAGCTTTGACGGCCGCGTATGCCACTGGGACGTTAATTCAGGAATTGCTACGGTTGTCGATGGGCAAGCACATACAAACCAGGTCGCTCAGTTTGCCACTGCCGATGGCAAGGTCCTCAGTGCTGGTTGGGATGATACTCTCAGAATTGTTGACGAGTCGGCCAAGACCTTCTTGGGCACTTCCATCAAGCTACAAGCACAACCTAAAGGTGTAAGTGCGGCGAACGGACTTGTCTATGTCGCGACTTACTCCGGTGTCTCCGTGTACTCTGGCGAAAAGCTGGTCAGCGAGCAGTCTTTTGACTTTACCCCTGGTGCTATTGCGGCATCCGGATCGTTTGTTGCCATTGGAGCCAACGAAAACTGCGTCCGCATTTACAACGCCAGTTCAAATGGTAAGCTCGAAGAAGTCAAGTCGCTGAGTAACCCAACTGGCACTATTTCTGCACTTGCTTTTTCCAAGGATGGCTCGCATCTAGCCGCTGGAAACAGTGTCGGAAAGATCTATGTTTACAGCGCTGGGAGCTGGGAATTGGTCGCAGATCGCTGGTCTGCTCACACTGCTCGAGTAACAGCTATTGCCTGGGACGAAACAGGCGCCTACGCTGCTAGTGGTAGCCTTGATACAAACGTCTTTATCTGGTGTCTTGAAAAGAAGAACCAGGGTAAGCGAATTAAGGCTGCTAACGCTCACAAGGACGGCGTCAATGGTGTTGCTTGGGTCGAAGGTGGCAGAGTTGCTAGTGCTGGAGGGGATGCCAATTTGAAGATCTGGAAGGTTCAGAATTTGCCTTGAACAAGATATATTCTACACCTGGCTAGTATTTTCCCACCCGGGTGGCACGGGAAACAGAGTTTACATTAGATAGATGCACCTTTTGACAAGTTGTGCGAGAATAGATACGCCTAAACACCAAACATATGCCTTCCTCCCAAATCGTAACGTATATATATCTCCTCTCATTGCCAAGTGATCCGTTGTCCGATCAGAGGCCCACGGCGCGCTTGAGGATGTCAAAGCCCTAATCATGCACCATCGTGGCGTTCTGTTCTTTGGCGACGTCTTCAGGGGCAAGATCCCACAAACGAAGCCTCTTGGGTTGTTGGGAGGGAATAACGTGTGGAGGCCAACAAGTCTTGTTCTCCTCCCAGAGAAGTCCCACCTTATGGATAGCTTCTTCAAGATCCTCGGCACTGTCCAATATGAGAAGAAGACTCAGTTGAAGGTCCGGGTTTACATACCTTCCAGAGCTCATGATTGCATACCCCTCCTTGGAGAGATGCTTAGCCATCTCAGTCTGGTGATCATTCAAAAGCTGTGTATTTGGTACAACGATAAGAGGCAACCCCATTTTCCACGCATCCAGTATTGTTCCCGTACCTTGGGTGTGTAAGTTCAAGTCACGAAATACTCGGTTGACTTACCAGCGTGGGATATCACAAGGCCAAGTTGTCTCTTGCCATCAGCGTCCTTGCATAGAGACATTTCCTCCTTCATGAGATTTTTTCTGGATGCAAATAGGTCGATACATAGGCCCGATGGAATGTCATCTTTGCGATCAGCAAGTTGTTTGCTCGCCAAGGCAAAATCAGGGCCGCACTGCACGCGCAGGTGAGTGAAACTCTGTGAGTGCAAGTACTGCCAGAAACTTGGCTGAAGGACCGATTCAACGAGTTTTCCAAACCCTGTGGTCGCACCGACCGTGACAAGACACACGCGGTCAAGATGAGGCTTCTCCATATCCGCGAGAAAATCAGTAGAGATGAAAGAAAGTCAGATAAGTTGTTGATTCGAAGTCTTGAAAC